AAAAAAAAAAAAAAAAGATAGCTTTTAGTTTTAATTGCTTTGACATCTCTTAGTGCTATGAGTTGCTATAACCAATTAAAAAAATCAAATATTATAATGAGAGCAATAATGATAAATTATACACCATCAGCTTTGTCGGTATATTGTAACAAATTAGTTAAACCAAATGTTTGAAGAAAAAAATTTTTTTTTTGGTTATTTATAGATACTTTACAGAGATGCACAGTGACAATTAGTACCGATGGCTGTGAGGCCAATAATTATGGCGACTGTAACTTTGATGAAGAATGATGAATAAACTTATGCGATTATCATACGCATTGTTTATCGACTATATATATATATATATATATATATATATATATATAATATATATGTACACTTTTGAGAATAAAACTGGTAAAATGTTACCTGGATTAAGAAGAAAACAAAATTGTATTTCCTGCCTATTTTTGAATTTCTTTTCAACATATCAAAAGAAAGAAAAAGCAAAGAAAAGATAGACAAAAAAAATGTATATATATATTATTAATATGTAATTTTAAACCTGCACACTTTCATCAAGTCATATTCTATTAATATGCTCACCTTTTCTTCAAAGAGGAGAAGAAAGAGCAGGAAAAAGCTGAACTGAAACAGCAGTATGTTTGGATATTATGCGTCCGAGGATTATAAACTTATTGTCTATAACGAATACGCTTGGCAGCTTACAAAACGTTTCTTTGTTTAATATGATTTCTTACTGTTCACCGGTTTTCAGTCATTATTTTTTGCTGATTTGTGAATACTATTGATTTTAAAACGCTAATTACTGCTTCATATTCTGTACATTCTGTGTTTTTGTGTGTGTTTATGTGTATCAGTCACATTCTGTGTTGTGTTTACACATCCTTCTGCCTTATTTTTTGGGACGTGGGGTGAGGTGGAGGAGGGGAATGCACTGTAAGATTAACAAAAATTGGTTGTTCACAGAAATCGCTGTTCCGGAAGTTTTATGCAATTTTTTGGCACTTTGAATGTGATCGGCACTTACCATCATCCATTTACTGAGATTTGCTAATGGGTTAAAAAAAAAGAACAACGAATAATCTTGTTATAAAAGTTAAGAGAAAAAAAATGGAGAGGTTGAATGACAGATTGTGAAAACAGCATCAACTGACATTATTGTGTTATGTGTGATGAATTAAGACACTAAACTTATTATTTATTAACAATAATTTTTTGATGCATTTTAAATAAAATTTGTTTTTGTCTTTTTTTTCTTATTTTTGTTATTGCTGTTATTATTAAATAGTAAATTTAAAAAAAAAGTGATTTTTAATTGTGCTTTGAACATTGTTTTCTGGTAGGAAAATAGATAGACTAAGATTGAACAGGCGCTGCATTAGGTAAAGAAAAACAAATGAACAACTTTCCGTTACATACTTTAACAGTTGTAAATTTTCTAAGTGTATACGGTTTTTTTTGGATGTATGATTTTTTACACAACAACGGTATCTTTTAACTACTCAATTTTTTAGTCAATTTCATGTATTTTTACCTCTTTTTTACATTGTTTTTTTTGTAAGATTTTAACTATTCAAAATAACACATATACTTTGAACGGTTACACAGTTTTCTAAATAATAGTTTGCTCAAAAAAAAAAAAACAGTAATACAGTGCTATTGTCAATGACTGTTTGAGAAGTCAGTTACCTGTTCAGCTTACATCTGTTTATAGCTTATTCTTTGAAATGTTAAAAAAACGGTTTTGCACCTTCAATATTACTATACTATTCTCTCACTGCAAAAAAAATTGAAAAAAAAAAAAACGAAAAAAATCAGAAATTGTGTTACTATGCCGTCAAAATTCTTTTTTTTTTTTTTTTTTTGACATACTATGATGCTTCTGATGTATACTGTCGCTTTTGCTGTCGTCTCTGCTGGTATCTGATGCGTTTCGAAAGAATGGACCAACAACAATCAACCAAGATGTTGTTGATTCAGTTTCATGACAGATATAGTTGACGAGCATCACTTAAATGACGGTTAACACTTGCAGATATGATGTCATCGTTCGTCTTCCTGCACTTTCCATTCATTGTCTTGTCATCCCTTATCAAGCACAGTGAAAAGAGAAAAGAATTTAAAAAGTTCTTCAGTTATGCTTTATAAAAAAAAATGCCGGAAATCTTGAGAAGATAAAAGTCAAAACTCAAAA